AATGTATAGCATATTTTTTAATAAGGCAACAACATATGATAGATACGATAGGACAAAACAAATACAGTGCAGCACGAACTGTTTTTATACAGTCTGCTGTATGTGCACATCCGGTGTGCAGAATGATGCGCTTGAAGCAACATGGCGTCATAGCCTGATGCGCACATTGTAAGCTCTTCGTGTTAAAAACTGCAAAGCACAAAGGGAAGAGAAATTGATGCGTAGTGTATTATATCTGTGCAACAGTTATTGAGCCTTTCTTTTAACAGTTTTAAATTTCAGTTACTGTGTACGTTAAAAACAATTTATAGTCTTTTCTACGCCCGTGTTTTGTTCTCACAGACACCCGGTAGCAAGTAACAAAACAACATTAAACTCCGGCAAGAAGATAAAGTCCTTTTTGCAAAATCATAGACATGTATTTACAAATCAAGTATAATGGGAACACAGAATGATCTTGGAGACTGACTGCTGTAACCGAATGTGACCAGGGGTTAAAGGCTGAACGAATGCCTGACAGCCACAGCGGAGAAAAGAGTTTGTGTGAACTTTAATGTAAGGACTTAAATATTCATATGTAGCTCACATTAAGCTATCGTATGGCTTCAGAAGTAACACAGAATAATTTGCACAATCGAGAAAAAAAAAAAAATAATAATCTCGGATTTGGTTCGGCCCTCTCTGACCGATACCCGATCCGAGAAAAATGGCACTATCGAAGCCGATACCCGATATGAATATCGGATCAGCGCATCCCTATTCAGAAGTTCACGAGACAGCTCACTAGATTTTAAGATTACTTTTTGCTTCTTGCCTCAACAGAGGGCCAACAAAGGGTCAAAGGTCATGGAGAGGCTGAAAAAGAAGCTGTCGGAACAGGAATCGCTACTGCTGCAGACCTCTCCTAACATGCCCCTCAGGGTACACAACCGCAATGGAAAAGTAAGAGCCAGTGATTCACAGCCTTTCTGTCGTATCTGATTTTCTCTTCAACATTCCTGCTCATGCTCACAGTCCATGTCGGTTATGCATTTCAGAGCTACATGTTTCTGATCTCATCGGACTACGAGCGTGCCGAGTGGAAGGAAGTGATCCGAGAACAGCAAAAGAAATGTAAGTGGCATTGTCACAGAAATCAGCAGTAGTAGATCAGGTATTTTTGTTTTTTCAACTGAATGCTTGCTTATTTTTCAGGCTTTAAGACCTTCAGCCTGACGTCCATGGAGCTTCAGATGCTCACCAATTCATGTGTCAAACTCCAGACGGTCCATCAATTACCCCTCACTGTCAATAAAGACGGTAAGAAAGTTGCACAGGTCTTACAGATAATATGAAATCAAAACTGTTTACAATCTTATCAGATTGTCCTGGATTTCTTGTGCATGATTCTTCAGGTTAAATCAAAATTAAATAGATAATATTTTTCCACATCTTAAAATAACCTTTTCTTTTCAATAATGTCATGTTTTATTCATAGCAATCTAATCAAATTACAGAATTTTTTTTTTATTTAATAATAGTTTTTAATGACCTTTTTTATTATTATTGTGATTCTGTTGTATTTTATTTCAATATTTTTTTTTTTTTTATTATAGATATGTTTTGAACCATTTTCTCTATTTTTTTCTTCACTTACAGAGGATGAATCTACTGGACTGTACGGATTCTTGAATGTAATTGTCCATTCTGCCTCTGGACTTAAACAGAGCTTAAGTATGTGTCTCTTTCCTTCTTCCTCTCTGTGCTCATCAAAGGTCATGTACACATTTGCTTAGCCTGTCCTAACACCCTGTAAAGAGCCAGTATCTTACAGATCCTCTTACCGCTTCCTCTCTTTAGATCTGTATTGCACATTAGAGGTGGACTCCTTCGGCATCTTTGTGAATAAAGCCAAAACAAGAGTGTACAGATACACCACAGAACCCAAGTGGAATGAGGTAATCCCACATGCCCGTCCCTGTCTATACACCATCGATGCCAAAAGACCTGCCTGCTGAAATGCTCTTGAGGCATTAAATCGTAATTAAGAGCAGCAGAAGCGAGGCCATGTGGAATATGAAGACCTTATGGACAAATTATATTACATTTTAATTAAGAGCAATTACCATGCCCAAAAGTAAAGGGGAGAAAATGAGGAAATGAGGCATGGCAGGTGCTAAGTCTGATCAAAAGTATCCTTAGACTGTTTTGTGAAGCAAAATCAGAAGTTTTTTGGGCGGTCTCTGTGTTTTATTATTAATAATAATGTTGTTGTTGTTGTTATTATTCTTTTTATTTATTTACTTTAAAGTATTTTCCCAAAAAGATGTTCTCAAGGTAGCAAATAAGAAATCAGGAAGGGGGCCAACACTTTTTCACACCACTGTATTTCTTATGTGTATTTATTGTATATATTCTGGACAATGTTTTTTCTTTTGTATTGTTTCTGCCTCAGGAGTTTGAGATCGAGTTGGAGGGCTCCCAGACATTACGTCTACTGTGTTACGAGAAGAGCTACAACAAAGCGAAGATGAACAAGGAGGATGGAGAAAGCACGGACAGAATTATGGGCAAAGGACAAATTGCGGTATGATCTTCACTGCTTAAAAACTGTAACAAATTTGGTTGACAAAAGTGTTATTTTGGTATTACTATTAATATTCTGAAATAGCTTTTTTTATAGTTCATTGTATTTTTAATTTAGGTTTTATGAATTTTGTTATGTGCTTTTGTCACTTTTATTAATTTTTCTTATCTTTAGATTTATTTTAGTTTTAGTAATTATAGTACTTCAACTTCAACTTTCATTTTAATAAAGGCAACATTTTTAATTTTCGTTTGTTTTTCATCTAGTATTTATATTTTATTTCAGCCTTACTGCAATTAGCGAAAACAGTTTTTAACAGTTTTAGTTTTAATTAACAATAACACCATTGGTTGTTACCGTGTTGACTTGACTTTAAACTAGGCTATTTATACCAGACTTGCTAATGATTCACAACCCACTTACTAGTCGTTTTTACAGGCTGGTTGTAAGCAGGTTAACAGGTTGTAAGCATAAATTTGCTTGGCTCTCATGTGAGCTAAGTGTCATTTTCCATCTGGGCCCTCAGTGAATCCGGTCAAAGGTATATCTGCTCTTATGAGAGACACGGTCCCAGATGGGGACTGGCCTTTATACTCCAGACATTTAATCTGCTTTTTAATAGGTAGGGTCTTATTCACTCTGCCCTGGCTTTTTAGGCATCAAATCATACATAATTCATATGTCCTGTCTGAAAATGTCACACTCAAAACAACGTCAGATCAGCTGACCTATCAGTCCCCTCCCCAGAGAGGTTTGTGGGGTCATACAAACAGCACAAAATTCTCCTGCCTCACAAATGATTGCTTGTAAAGTCTAGGTTTGGATGCTGTTGGTTTCAAAGTGTCGGCTGGTTTATCATGGGGGAAGGAGGACGGATTTGAGGGCTGTGATATGATCCCTCTGTAGCCCCCCCATCAGCCAGCTGTGACTTTAGGAAACTCTGCTCTAGTCCCTAAGTCATAAAATGCGTTTTTGTAGGGATCATGTTTCTTCTGTGTATTTAAGTAATGTGGTCTTTGTAAAATCTAATATTTTTCCTCTTAAACATTATGATGATTTATTGCTTTGCTGTTTGGTTTTTTGTTCTCCTTATACCCAAGAGCACTTTGCAGTGGTCTGCCAACAAATAAACATTGAAAATAAAGCTGGACTACTCTGTAGATTTGTGCCATTGGAAATATAATAGGTAGATTTAAAGACATAATATGAAAGTGTTATTTATTTATTTTTAATATTTTTCCTCTTAAACATTATGATGATTTATTGCTTTGCTGTTTGGTTTTTTGTTCTCCTTATACCCAAGAGCACTTTGCAGTGGTCTGCCAACAAATAAACATTGAAAATAAAGCTGGACTGCTCTGTAGATTTGTGCCATTGGAAATATAATAGGTAGATTTAAAGACATAATATGAAAGTGTTATTTATTTTTTTTCAATTTTATTTTCGATTTTCAATTAAGTTTATAGTTAATTTCGTTATTTAGTTTTCATTTTAAACTGTTGTTTTTAATTTATTAGTTAATTTAGTTTTATATTTTCATTTTAGAATTTTAGGGCTCATAATGTGTTAACTAATTTTATTTAAATGCATTAAACGCTGTTACATTTCTTATAGGCATTGTATATCACTACATAGTGCCTTTTTTTCATGTTTAATGTTTATAATTTATTAAATTCAGGGTCTAAAACTAAAATTAAGATATTTTTAAAGCATGGAAAATTAATTAAATAATTTATTTTTAAATTATGTTAGCTATTTCAGTTTTTTTATTTTATTTTTTTTATACATTTTTGTAAAGGATAACAATACTGCATGGCAGCAGAATAAACCTTTAAGAGATGCTCTGATTGGTGCACTGGATGTTAGTGGCTGTAGATGGGTGCATGGGTTGGGACAGAGCAGCTTACTCTGAGGTAAGTCAAGGGATCATCTATTACGAGCTGGAGGTGCGGAAAGAGAAAGTTATGCAGATTTACAAAAAGAAACAGTGTCGAGACTACGGTAAAGAAGGAAATAAGAGCAAAATAGATATTTAAGTGAACAGCAACAGATTTTGGGACTGGATGAATCATCAATGTAATTGGATCTCTGTAGCTTGCACCAGACCAATGATTTGTTATTGTTAAAAGAGCTACTTAAACACTTCATCTGTTACTGAAGACCCTCTGAATTATTTGAATTGAAGACATCTGGAGCAGCCATAGGATTTCCAATTCCAGCCAAAGATCTCTGCTCAGGTTTTGCACAGTCGTATACTGTATAGGAAGGAGATGAGTGACGAGGAAGTGGTAGGACTGGATGAGGAGGGCAGGAGCTGCCCTCCACCCATCGAAGACTGTGATGTGGGGCCTGGGGAGGCTGTTACTGTAGACATTTCTACGCAAACTGCTCCGGCAGGCAAAGGAACAAGGTTATGGGGCTGTGTACAAAATGTTTTGCACAGAAGAAAGGTAAAGTACAGAAAAAAATGGTTGTGAATGGGTAACTGTTTCAGTAGTGACAGCAGTGTATTCCAGTGTGACGTGCATTTTCTCTTTATTTATATTCTACTTCACGTTGAGATGTTGCATATAAAAATATATGAGACCATATTGAGATTAGGCCAGGATGAGGGAAAGGAACACGCTGAACTTGGCCCACTCCAGATGGCCCCACGTTTGCTTAGAGGGGTCAGAGAAATTGGCTGGTGATATGCGAAACTGCTGTATAAGGAGAAGTGGCAGTATGAAAAATGTTCACATCACTCCAAGCCCTTCATAACATCTGTGGTGTTTATAACGGATATGTAGCCAATCCAAAAGCCCTCTAGATCTCAGAAAAGACAAATGTTCTGTGTCTGTGTTGGAAATCCCATTGTATTTTATGTTTCTTTTTCTGTTTTTTATCCAGTTGGATCCTCAGATGCTCCAGGGTAAAGACTGGCAGAGAACAGTCATCCCTATGAATGGGGTAAGTATATTCACATCTGCTCCTCTTCTGTAATCCTACCATCTAACACTCTAATTACTAATTTTTCTGAAGATTGAGGTGAAGATATCCATGAAGTTCACCAGCCGGGAGTTCAGCCTGAAGAGAATGTCCTCACGGAAGCCCATGGGTGTGTTTGGAGTAAATATCTCCACAGTGACAAAGTGAGTCAGAACACATTTTATATGAGAAGAGACGTACCCAGAAAATTATTTGGTCTTTTTTTACAAAAAGACGCATTTTGACACTAAGTTATCATGATTTTTCAGGCATTCATTGTGTCAAAGAAAATTAGAATATTCAGTATAGAAAATTATAGGCTTCATAGAATTCTGCCCTTTCTGTGCAGTGTTTGTGGTCAGATTTGATTGACAGTAATGAGGATTGCCTGTAACAAGCTTCCTAATGGGTTTAAGGGCAGAACCAATTAATGCTATAAAGACAACATGACAACACCAGTACAGATGCTCAGACACAAACATGTGCATCAAAGGTTTCTACATTAGCAGCACCTACTGCTGATTAATGTATATGTAAAGGCATTATTCGGCTTAACCTCCTTTTCATTCAATGAATATGTACAGTGAACACAGGCTGTCAGTTTCGAAAAGCACAGACCCAACTTGTCTGAAGCTGCATGATAGCTTTATTTGAGAAACAGTCACAGTTAAACAAATTTAAGCCATACTTTTCTAATCTTATTTGCATATACACTATTGTTCATTTTTTTAAATAAATTACTTTTATTCAAGAAAGATGCATTAAATTAATAAAAAAAAATGACAGCAAAGAGATTTATTTTAGAAACGTTTTCTGTTTCAAATCAATGCTGTTCTTTTGAACTTTTTATTCATCAAGGAAGCCTGAAAAATGTATCTTGGTTTCCACAAAAATATTAAGCAGAAATAAGAAATGTTTCTTGAGCACCTAATCAGCATATTAGAATGATTTCTGAAGGATCATGTGACACTGAAGCCTGAAAATGCAGTTTTGCCATCACAGGAATAAATAACATTTTAAAATATTTGAAAATAAAAAAAAAGTATTTTAAGTTGTAATAATATTTTACCATATTACTGTTTTTACTGTATTTTTCATCAAATAAATGCAGCCTTGGTGAGCATAATGGTAGCGTTATGTATTTAACAGTAACACATCTAATATTTTTTAATATATGCGAACACAAATAGTAATGGTAGCTTTAAGATCAAAATTAAATGCTTAAAATTATAAATTTGACATTTTTTGTTTGTGTATCCTATTTTTGCTGAATATAAGTTTAAAAAAATTGTAGTCATTACTTGTTCATTAAATCAAATGGCTGGTTTCGTGATGTTGGTATTATTTCTTGTCTCAGACGGGAACGCTCTAAAGTGCCCTACATCGTCAGACAGTGTCTAGAGGAAATTGAGAGAAGAGGAATGGAGGAAGTGGGCATCTACCGTGTCTCAGGAGTGGCCACTGACATCCAGGGACTGAAGACTGCCTTTGACACCAGTGAGTGTCCATCAAACTTGTGTTTATTTTTTTACATAGAGTTATGACAGACACATCCAGTCAGCCAGTTTAGTTGCTGATCTCTCTCTGTCTCTCTGTAACAGATAATAAAGACGTGTCAGTAATGATGAGTGAGATGGATGTGAACGCCATTGCCGGAACGCTCAAGCTGTACTTCAGGGAGCTCCCTGAGCCCCTGTTCACTGACGAGCTCTACCCTAACTTTGCAGGAGGCATTGGTGCGTCAGTTGTTTTTACTTGGAAAAAAAGTATTGAGCAGGCTTGGCTTTGTGATGGTATAACTATGTTGATTATGTCCTCAGCTCTTTCAGACAGCGTAGCTAAGGAGAGCTGTATGCTGAACCTCCTGCTGTCTCTACCAGAGCCCAACCTGGTCACCTTCCTCTTCCTGCTGGATCATCTCAAGAGGTTTACAAGATGCTGATGACTTTTACATTGTTCTAAGAAGCTTAACAACAAGAAAGATATATTACTGGGTCAAAATCCATTGTTTCTGGAACATTCATATGAAGAAATCAAGGGTTACCCTTACGAAAAAGAAGTTTATTCAAGTGTGCTATTAGTATACTTCTTTTAAACTAAAAATAGGAAAGTATACTTTTAGTCTACTTTTTATGTACTTCTCAGAAATGGGCTTTATGTACTTCTCAGAAATATACTTAAAATGACATTTAAGTATACTTGACTTATACTAAATATATTTTAGCTATAATTGTGCTTTTAGAATCCGTGTTTTCATTGTTATACTGTAGGGGGCACTTAAATGTTTTTGTTTACAAGCAGATACCCTGTTCTTTTGATGTTTTGTAGTTGTAGTTTTGTTTTGTTGCAGTACAAGCTAAAAATTTTGATGTAAACTAGTTGTGTACTCAAAGTTTACTACTGTTATACTTAAAGTATACTTAAAAGTATACTTTTATATACTAGAAAGTGGGCCAATTTAGTCCCAAGGAGTATTGAAATAGTACACTTACAAGTATACTACTAGTACACTGATATTTGTATACTTACTACATAAAGTATACTTAAAAATATACTTGAACTTTACTTAAGTATACTTGCTAAAATAAACTTGAAGTATACTACTTTTTGGTAAGGGTAGGGTTAAGGCTATGATTGGCTGATAGAAATGTTGTTCCTGAAACATGAACTGCATCCCAAATGACGCACTATACACTGTGCACTTATACACTATGTACTTATGCACTATGTACTCAACCATGTAGTGTATGAATTTTATAAGGTTATTTTGTCATTAATAATCAGAGTCTGATAGCCTCGCCCTCTTCGTGACGTAATTAAAGCTGCGACAGTTGAGTGCATGAAGTGTCCAACATTCCACACTTAATTTTTTCGGTTATCATCCAGGTATTTAAAGTGCACTTTTTCTTTTTAGAATTTTCAGTGTGAACGCACTACTCGCACTATTTATACTACAAAATGTGCTGCTGGCATCATGATCAAAAAGTTTAGTTGGGTGAATCTTACCATCAACACATTTCAGTTTTCACCCCCATTTAAAAAAAAAAACAGACTACAGTATATTATAAGAAAATATAGCTTGCATTAAGAAATATTAAGCTTAATAAAAACATTTACCCCTCAAATAAAAAAATAAAAAAAACATTCTCATTTCTGTATAACATCCTGTCTGGGCACATTTATTAATTTATTTTATTTTTTCATTCGCTACAACAAGTGCCACCAAATTGTAAAAAATATATATTTTTAAATAATCTAGTAATATTTTATTATTATTATTATTTGAATATTTTTTTAATTGGAGGGAGAAAAATGTAATTTATTGAAATTATTTTAAGTTTCGTAATAGCAAACTTGATGCATTCATACACTGATAATCTTTATTTCCTGTCTTCCTGCTCTTTCTCTTTTTGTTTCTAGGGTTGCAGAAAAGGAGAGTGTAAACAAGATGTCTCTTCACAATCTGGCCACCGTGTTTGGCCCGACCCTGCTACGACCTGCTGAAAAGGACAGCAAAATCCCCACTAACCCCACGCAGCCTATCACAATGGGGGACAGCTGGTCACTGGAAGTCATGTCACAGGTACACGATAAAACCACAATTAACTGACTTTACAATTTAAGGACTGTGGACATGATACCAAGCACCATTGAAAATCATTTAAATGTGTCTGTGTGTTGTAAACACACAATGGAAAACACATTTACAGTAATGCACTTATGTTTTATCCATTACGCGTCTCCTGATAGGTGCATAATTCTTTCTCCTTTGCATCTGTAGGTGCAAGTTTTGCTGTATTTCCTTCAGCTGGAGACCATCCCGACGCCAGACAGTAAGAGACAGAGTATCCTGTTTTCCACAGAGGTCTAAAGGAGTTCTTATTCCTATTGTAAGTCTCAAACCAAGCGAGCATGTCCACCCACTGGGTATAACGGACACTGGAATGCACAAGAGCTTCTACTGGGCAAAAGCAGGAGTGCTTCGCGTTTCGCGCATTTTCTAGCTGTCGCCACTAGGGGGCGCCGTAGCCATTTTAAACGTTAAAGAACTGGACTTGCTCGGAGCACATCTTGAATATTACTGAACCCTCTGCCTATTTTCCTGTGAACATCAGTGTCCCTTCAGCACCTTCGCTCTCTTCTTTTTCATGACTCAGACCCTGAGCATGCTCTTGCGTCCTGTACGTGGGCCTCTACTGGTCAATCATGTCAGCTGGTGACAGTGAATTCTGTCTCTTCTGGCTTTTTGTGTTTGTCCTCATTTCGCCTGTCCCCACTGGCCACTGATGCTCTTTCTGTGCTGCTACAATTCAGTATCCAGCTCCAAACCGTTCCAGATTTTGGATCCTTTTATACAATAGATAATTACATGGCAGTTCAACGTAGTTCTTATTGCAGACTCTTAAAAGTCAAATTAATAACTTCTGTTAGTGTATGTCAGTCATTACAAGAGCTTAATTTAATAGGATTTCTGTGTAGAAGATGGTGTTTGGTTCAGTTATTGTCAGTGTTGATGTGATTCTAAGTTAAGAAAACATACATAAAAATGAGAAAAATCTCGCTATTGTTTAATTTTCCTCTTTTTTTGGCCCATACCTCTCTATCAAGCAATATTTAAGCATTCATGAGTGTGTTTGAAAACATGATACATGTTTCATTATGCTTTCGTAGTTGAGATTTCGGGAGAGAGAAGTACATTACCAAAAGGGTCAATATATTTTTATTCATTCTGATTATGTAATACATGTAGAAGAATTATTATTTATTTGGGGACAGATCAGTGTCTTTTTTAAAGTACGTCTACATTTATCCGTGTTATGAAGTACTGTAGATTCCTTACATATCCTCTTCATTTTCCTGTCTTTTTGAATCTGTGAAAATGCTCAGAGGATAGCACACAACATTAGCGTTTCCCCTGCCGTATATCTAGTGTTGAGAGATGACCAAACGGAGAGGTTTTTAACTCTACCCTGTCATTCACATTCGCTCTCTCTCTCTAGCTTCACAGCACACTGTGGTTTATGTCTCGCTGAGAACCATACAGCAGTGCCTCTCTGTCTCATCGTAAGACATTAAGGTTAAAAAAAAAACAACGCTGTATATAGCACAATCTGTTATCCTTGAATCCTGTCAGATTGTTTAATGAAGGAAGGGTTAATAATGGATGCAGTACAGGTATTCTGTGTTAATTATATTAGTAAAAATGAATGCTCTTAAGTTTATTATTTCAGTTAAAGGTGCTTTAGTTACTTTATTTAACATGCAGGCGTGTTTTTTTTATTTAAAAGTGTTTTTTAAGTTTGATAAGTGTTGTGCGTTTGAGTTGTAACGTTAAACCAAATTCTGGCTACTGTAGAAGGGTTTTTGAAGACTTTATCATGCATACAGAAAGGGGTGCAGCAATTGAAAAGGAATTTCTGTTAATCCACCATGTGAAGTCTTTTGTTTTTTCGTTTACGTGTGCAGTAAAGGTGCGTCTGAGACTTTTCATCTTGTCTGTCCTCTTTCTTGATTGTCGGCACTAAATGTACATTTCCTGTATCTTGCACCTGTCCGAACTGAAGTCAGCATCACATGTGGGTTTCTTCTAGAGATATGCCCGCTTTTTTTTTGTAATATGTAACTCTTGACATAAATTAAACTGTGATCTATTGCTATCAGAAGGCATTAGGTGATTCAAACAAAGCATTCCCGTTGTGTTAATTGCTTATTTAATGTGCTTTTTATAGATTGTTGAATGTTACTGGGTTAGGAATATTGGACATATGCTCCGGTTCAATGGGAGTGACACAGCGCATGATGTTTGAGAAGCGATTTCTTTGCACTGCACATAGTTTAAAGACTAATGTGATGAAATTTCTTATAAACGTAATGAGATTGTATCACACACAGTGAGAAACGTCTACAAACCAATTAATGAAAACATGCATTATGACATTATAACCTCCAGATTTATTTGTATTCACAAAGTATTACAGTTTTGAATTGATTGGTCATGAAAGCACTGCAAGGGTCCATCTGTGTCATCCATTATAATGTTATGAGGATTTATGTTGAAACCTTGCCTTTAAACACATGAAGACATGCTGGACAGCCACTGGGACAGGCTGTGGATGCCCTCCCCTTTTCCTCTTAAGGTTTTTGTCACTATATATTCTTGCTAATATCTTAATGTTCTGGTTATAGGACTGTACAAATAGATTAATGAATTCTGCAGACTGAAACGTTTGGAAGGCATTTGCGGCCTATGTTTATACACAAAATGTTGAATAAAACCTCCTGTATATGAATACCTGCTGTTTCATGCTGTTTTTTCTAAAACTATTTGATTGTATTACACAGTGCGAAAAATATTTCACATATTCTGGATACAACAGTAGTTTGATTTAATATTTTTGTTAATTTATTTACGTTTTGTGCATGTTTATTGAAGAACATGTCTTGAAACGCTGTATTACACAATTGTAATGTATCTATGTGTCCACATGGGGGAAGCACGGCCTTGCTCCATGTTGTTCATTTATTTTATTTATTTAATGTATGATATATTATAATGTATTTATCATTTTTGGGGGTAAAACCACGCTTAATACGTGACTGAAATAGCTGTCTTAAGAAATAACAATCGACCAATAGCAGACGAGGGGCAGAGAGGTAATCTGGATATCGTTCATTCTACTCATTTGACGTACTGCTTTTTGCATACAATATAGAGAAGAAACGCATACGTTTCGACAACAATAGTCAATTTCTACCTCTCCCTTTTCTCCAGTTTCTTCCTCTTTTTTGTATCTAGCCTTTATTGTATATTTCTCGTGATATTTACCTCAATGACGTTTAAAAAAAAAGAGTATAACGTCGTTTTCATCGGTTTACATGCTAGATGTTGTCTAACATAGCACTGTTCAGTATAGTTTAAGTAAAAACACTTTTTCAGATCACATGACTATTCCAAAACACTATAAAATGATATTAAATGTACCCTGTAACACTGCAAATGCAAGAAAACTGATGTTGATATAACAAGGATATGATTATATATTATTTGAATTATTATTATTTATTTTCCCATTTCTGTAACTCTTTTCTGTATTTCGTTACAGAGAGCATTCTTCCTTATTTAAAAGTATCCATGTCATGATGACATCAGGAAAGACGGCAGCTTCCTTTGAGTAAGTAATAGATTTATTTTTGGTGCTTTATGTCTAGTCCTTTGCTTTCGCAGAGGCCACACAGTCCTCCTGTGGTCCGATAAGAAGCCCTGTTTCCTGTTCATAATATGAGACTCTGAGCTTTGAGGAACAGGAGGGATGGACGGAGTTAAAATACAGACTGACATTCTGTCATAGAGCTGTTATGGGAGAGAGTGAGAAGGAGAGTGTGGTGTCGTCTGTTTGTCTCTGATTACTTGTGTCCACAGTTCTATCTCTCTCCTCCGGCTGTCGCTCCTCCCTCAGCAGGCCATGAAAGCTCTAACCGTTACAGGGTGGATGGGCTCAGATAAGACTATCACGGCCATCACGGCCCTGCCTGCTCCGAGAGGCCTGCCCTGCTCCCTTCAGATTTCACCAACTCTTGTTCTGTTCCTCCTCTCCCACTTCATTTCCATGTTTGCTGACTTCACATGTGTTTTTTTTTTTTGTTTGCTCATTCTGTCGCCTCATCTTGCAGGCCTGTTTGTTGATGCTTGTTGTGTCTGAGTCAGTTTTGCTCTTGGCTGGTCACCAAACTTGTTCAAACCCACCTACCCTTCATGTCTGGTATCTGTCAATAACTCAGTATCACTAGTTTGCCATTACTGCATGTGACCCGATGCATGTTTCCTGCATCCACAGTAAGACAGATATACTCCCTTAATCTTGTGAGGGAACTTTTGTATTGAGCCGTGTGTTAAAAAAAAAAAAAGTGATTTATGTTGAAATGCTTTTTTTCTGGATATTATCTATTCATTTATTCAGAAATACATTAAAAATGCTATTCATACAAGGATTTGAATATATTTGAATTATTAATTAAATATTTGAAATATTTTATAATAAATAAAAAAACAAGAAGGTAGAATAAAAAAATAGTGAATGCTAGTGTTAGAGGGACTTTTTAAAATAAAAATAAGACAAGTCAAAATAATAGAAAAAGAATAGAGAATGCTAGTGTTAGAGGGTCGTTTTTTATAATAAGTAAAAAGAAAACAAGTAGTTTGAATAGAAATAGAACTGAGAGTGCAAGTGTTAGAGAGTCAAATTTTTTTAAAATACAATTAATTCTATTTAATATTAATTTGTAATTCTATTAATATTTTATTGTATTCAAATTGTGACATGATTTCTCCAAAAAGTAATATTTCTAAATGAGTAAGTCTTTATATATGAAAAATAAATAAATATTTTATTTGAATATTTTCATTTAAATGACATTTATATTCACATATTAAATGAGATATTTTGTCCTTTTTATGATGAGGGAAGGCTAGATACATTTGTAAAATGTCATGTGGTGCAACTTTTTATAGTTTGTTTCTATACTTGTAGTAATATTTTTTTTATCTTCAAAAAATTATATATACAGTGGTGTGAAAAAGTGTTGGCCCCAAAAGCATTCATTTAGTTCTCATATATATCTTTAGTTTCTTAGCACTACGGGTACATGCATAATCCTCTGAGTGGATTTAAATAATGATTGCCCCTTATCTGGCGTCCTACTCTAATCAGTGTGGTTCGGGCCTCGCTGTGTCATCGCTCTGCTCTTGGCATGACGTGCCAGCTGTCTATCTGCGTCTTCTCCTCATCCCCAAACCCATAAAACTCACTGACAGGCCCTTTGTTTGAGACACGCCAGTTGCACTTTTAAATATGTGGACTGAGGTCTCATAAGAAATAAACCGTTCATGTTTTTATGCATGACTGCATATGCAACCAAAAAATTATCACTTGTAAGTATACTCTTATGCACATGATTTCCATATACTGTAGGAAGACTTAAAATAAATATTATTTTTTGCTTCTGTAACAAGATGAGAGACTCAACCAAACATGTTTTAAAGTAAACATGTTTCTCTGCACGGTTTGATTTCTGTGTTTGTTTTATGTATACTTTTACAGTCTTTAAAAACCTTTTGTAGTGCTGTTTAGGAGCTTTTCTTGCTTTTGGAAACAGATGCATTTCTAGAAATACACAAAAAAGCAGCATGTAAAAGTTCATTTGAAAAATAACAAAGAATGTTTTTCTAAAGCGGTCATTTCTTCATGCTCTGCTGCACAATCAGCCAGTTTAATAGAAAGCTCAAGTCTTTATTTTCTAATGTGAACATTTTCATTTTTTTATAGTCCTTTCTGTGATAAGGTCTCTGCTTTGGCTCACACAGTCGCCTGCTACTTTGCCTCAGGCAAGCACAGTCAAGAGTGTTTTGCATATCTGCTCATTTGTTAAGCAAATCTCTCTCCTTCTATCTTTTTCTTTATCCCTCCCTGTTTTCTCCCTTTCGCTCTACCACTCTGCTTTTGTAATCTTAAAAGAGGTTCTGACCTCTCGTAATTTGTTGTTCATATATATGATGTATCTGTATTTGTGTGGTATTGGTGTCATGTTGTGCTGATGCATTGGTTCAGTGGATGTGTTACCATTGTTTATATGTGTGGACTGATGTACACTAAAGGTCAAATTTCTCTTTTTGCCTGCAGGCTTTAACAGCTTTTGGCAGCAGACCCACTTAAAGTTTTTTATGATGACGGCCTGTCCAAATATCTGAAAGCACATCTCTTTATTGTTCCTCACAATTAATTCTAAATCAACTGTTTCTACAAATACAAAACAGCTGCGAAAGCTGAGTGAATTTAACATATGGTGTGTATGATTCGTTGGAATATATTAAAAGATTAAAATCTAACTTCAGATATGCTGAACTGAATTTGTTTCTCGTGATCTTAAAAAGATTAATGTGTAAAAGGCATGAAATCAGTTTTGTAGACATATATGTTGTGCTTATGTATGAATTCCTTCACAAAATAAAAATAATTTAATTAAATAAAAAATTAACATTTTAAAAGTTTTTCAAATGCACAAGTTGATTAGTGAAGGAAATGAAGCCAACGAATGTTTACTGTGGGAGCTCCTTCAAAACGGATAGTCCTGATCCTGACTTTTGATTGGTCAATAGCTGTCACGCTTCTACAGCGCCATGTTAAAAACATCAAATTTTATCCAAGTTGTGACTGGAAGTTTGCTGCCTGTATCTTACTCTTATTTGATCAAATCAAAAAACAATGTATCGCAAAATAATATCAAGAAACCTTGTCTTATTAGTGAGTTGTCCACGTGGGTAAAAACAAACATACTGCATGAACAAATGATTGTTAAAGGGGTCATGAACTGAGAAACCAAAATTCCCTTGATCTTTTGACATATTAATCATTGTAAAATTTCAGAACTCAAAACTTTCTCGTTAGTCTAAAAACAGCTTATATTGAAGGCAGTCTGCCAAAACAACAGCTTTTGGAATGTTCTACTCTATGATGTAATAGTGTGGATAAGCACCGCCTCCGCAGGACAAGATTGACATCACAGTCTGTTTAGCCCCGCCCACCGATTCGTGCATGTTTACAAGAAAGGCGAACACGAGGTCTAAGCAGAAACCAAACGATAAAGATGGCTCTGAAGACAGCAAGACGCTGTGGAGTGCAAAGTTGTTGTGGGGGGGGGACAGTCTTTGCATTGCCTTCCTTCTGATCCCAACATTAGCAAGGATTAAATGAACTTTATTTTTTTGCCTTCCTTCTGATCCCAACGTTAGGAACGAGTGAATGAACTTTATTTTTAATGAAGTTCCAGACTGTCAGTAAGAACTCGGTCTTTTGTTTACTTAATTTTACTGCGGATTCATTTACAAACAAGGCACAATTCAACGCGGGATTTTCAAAAAGATTGAAACTAAAAGACGATGCTGTACACTGTAAAAAAACACTGTATGTTTCTTCTTAGTTTTTTCTTATCAGTTTTGTATATTAGGGTTGTGTGTTACACCTAATGTTGTTAAATGAATGTTTATTGCATTATTTCAGTTTCATGTGTGTTACCATGATGGTGTTTGGTGTTTGTGTGAATGACACTGTGCACCTTCTATATATGTTATTATTTAAAAGCTGCTTGTGATGGGCTTTGGTTCATCATGTGACTTTCTCATCACCACCTGCATTTGGTGGTTATCAGTGTATTACAAAGGTACAAAACAGATTTCAGTACTTCAATAGGTTGGTATATTAACATTATATCAGTTAATGAAATTACGGTATTTAACTGTAAATTTAAGTTAAAACCGTAAAACCAAAAACGTTGCTACCGTATTTTTTACGGTAAAATTCCGGCAACCACAGCTGCCGGTTTTTTACCGTAAATTTTACGGAATTTTTTTTACAGTGTACTGACTATATTGGATCCGACAGTAATCTCGCAACACACAAGTATGAGTAACTGTTCTTATTACGTGATCACTATTGCTTTGTCTGTTAAACAGATCATTGGATATGTACCGAGTATTTATGCGTTTTTAACCTAAATCACAGAAGCGTCCATCTGTGAAGGATGTAGACTGTCAAACATACACAAGCCAATCACTGCAGTGGGCGTTTACTTCAGAGTCTACAATCCGCCAGGCCTATTCAAACAGAGCGTTCTGATGTGGGGGGTCAAAAACTGGACAGAAAATAGTCTATTACTACTTAAATTATTTTTTTTAATGTAAAAATCTTGATAACATTATAAGTGTACCTCAGAGAACAGAACAACAACCACAACAAAAAAAAAAACAGGCAGTTCATGACCCCTTTAAGAGCCGTTTGAATCGTTCAAAATGACTCCCAAAAGAATCTTTCGCTGAATGAGTAAACTCACTGAATCCGTCAGAGCGGTTACTGAATCAACATCTGTTGTCTTGCTTACTGAACTCCTAATGAGTGATATCCATCTCCAAACCTATATACTGTATGTATATATATAACTTTTTTTAACATTGATAATAAAAAATGTTTCTTGAGCACAAAATCAGCGTATTTGAATGATTTCTAAAGGATCATGTAACGCTGAAGATTGGAATAAATGAAATTTTAAAGTATATTAAAATAGAAAATGGTTATTTTTAATGTTGTGATAATGTTTTACAATATTACTGAATTTTCTGTAGTTTTGGGTCAAATATATTCAGCCGTATTGAAATAATGAGTAGGTGTGTCTCCACACTTTTGATGAATGGCGTATGCAGTTACGTAAGATATTAGACTGGAGCATAGCTTCTAAAACCAGTTTAATTTTAATAATCAGAAATTACTGTTAGTGTACTGTTGCGTGAATGGTGGACAAACAGTTTTCTGATTTACAAAATCATGCAAAATCAACACATGCAACAGAAAAAGAGGAAGTGGAACTCAGGTGTGCGCTTGCCCCTTCATTTCCCCTTTCTCCCTTCAAGGCTACACGTCACCCCACCCTCTTGTCTTAGTCCTAAAATCCTGTTTGCTCATACATTGTCTGTCATCCAAATCTGACACCGATTGGCTCCCTGAGCAAGATTGTGATTTGCTGTTGGATTTACTGTCTCGTTCCAGGATGTGGCTGTAACTGTCCTCAGCATGACTCAGACCCCGTTGCTGAGGTAATAAAAATAATAATTTGCATGGGCACCACAGATTTGTTTACCAACTGTTACTAGAGATGCACTGTCTCACTGTTTCCACCCTGATGTGAACACTGATTTCTGTTCCGAACTTTTTTTGGCAGGTGTGCAGGGCGCAGATGGGGAACAGGTCAGCAGTGGAAGTGATGAGATTTCTGACCAACTTTCTTCAGCTTTTTTCTCAATAAGTTCCTCTTCGCTGAATAACCGCACTTACCTGTCCTGACCCTGTTTTGTGATTAGCCGCTACTACCAGCGTTCTGAGGGAACCACATGTGAGGTGTGCAATGCGTGGTTTATGATACAGGACAGTGTAGACTGATTGGATTTTCCTAACTGTCTGTTTTGTTTGAGAGGGGCGGTGTGCGCAAAGCTGTGTCAGTAGGAATTTGTTTGGCAAAGCAGCTTGAACTCCGCTGATGGGAGTGACCTGAGAAGCAGACGTCAGTAAATCTCTGAGTTTTCTTAGTCAAAATGTTTGCACAACTAAGACTAAGGAGTCCCAGTTGGTCAAAGTTTAATCACAGGAATCATTGCATTCATAAATATCAATTTCTTTGTTTCGCTGCTTTGCCTTTCTCTGCCAAGCTCAGGCCCAGAAGGTCCGTTCATTCAGCCGCATTAAGTTTACAAACCTGCCAGGCAGGAGATTTGCATGTAGAGTTCCAGGTACCTATTTGAATGAAGCTTTATCTCCAGTCACACCAGAGATTTCACACAGCCTCTGGCAGTGTGCAGAACCATCAGCAAGGCCAACGGAACTGTGTATCCGGATCCTCGACAGGGCGGAGACACAAGAAGACAAACACAGCAAAGCCGTGTTTGCTGACTCTTCTCATTTTTCACTTTACCGGGACTGATTTTTTTTTACACATTTACAGTACGTGCACTCCTCCCCCTTCTCTTTATCTCACAACTAGATTCACTGTCAAAATCCACTTTTAGGAATTATCGATCAAGCACCAATTTCAAAGAGGAGTATTTATTGTGAGATAAGAGTTTCTATAAATAACACAAAATCAAAGATCAATCTAAACACTAACATACAATCATTTCACTGCATTTAAAAAGCCAGTTTAGAAATAAAAGAAATATGTTTGGATTCCTTCATGGGGCACTAACTGACATATGATTATGATTTAATATTTAAAAGGACATTTGATGGACTTTTTGTGTGTCAGATTACAGTTTTGATGAAGTACTGGATAGAATAAAGAAATGTATTTTGAATTCAATTAAAAGTTCTTCTGTGGAGCACAAAAGCTGATATTTTAACAATTTTGTTTGACTTTCATTGTATTCTATATTATTTGTTTTATATTATATAGTATTTTTTTTTTATATTTTGAAGTAGCTTTTATATTCTTTAGCTTTTTCAGAATATTTTTCTATATGGCATTCATTTATTTTTATTTAGGTTTTAGTTTTGATTTCAAAACTACTTCATTTGCCAACATTGCTAATCTTTGAAATGACATAATTTATGTATTTTTGTGTAGTTTTTTCATGTAATATTTATTTAATTATTTAATTCCAGATTTATTCCAATTAACCAAACTTTATTTTTAATGATACTTTTAGTTTTAAGTTAACAATAACTAAATTGTTTGGAACATGAGGGTGAGTAAATGATGATAGAATAGTACATTTTTGTGTGCGCTATCCCTTTAACATGAGTCTACTTAGAGAAACGCATTCCTCTGAAGCAACGGTCTTTTTTTCCAGCCATCGGTGGTCTTCATTTCCTCGCCGCTGTCTGCGACGCCATATGCAGCCTCCGTTATTTAAGGCTGTGCTGGCTCTCGTGGTGTCTGCGAAGATCTACCTTCCTCTGGAAGCCTTTGGAACAGACCTCGCAGCTGAACGGCTTAAATCCGGTGTGTTTGCGGCTGTGTGTGATGAGGTTAGAGCTCTGGCTGAAGGCCTTGCCACACACCTGGCATTTGTGAGGTTTCTCACCTGTAAACAAACATAACATTTATATATAGTATTTTTTTTTAATATTTTGAAGTAGCTTTTATATTCTTTAGCTTTTTCAGAATATTTTTCTATATGGCATTCATTTATTTTTATTTAGGTTTTAGTTTTGATTTCAAAACTACTTCATTTGCCAACATTGCTAATCTTTGAAATGACATAATTTATGTATTTTTGTGTAGTTTTTTCATGTAATATTTATTTAATTATTTAATTCCAGATTTATTCCAATTAACCAAACTTTATTTTTAATGATACTTTTAGTTTTAAGTTAACAATAACTAAATTGTTTGGAACATGAGGGTGAGTAAATGATGATAGAATAGTACATTTTTGTGTGCGCTATCCCTTTAACATGAGTCTACTTAGAGAAACGCATTCCTCTGAAGCAACGGTCTTTTTTTCCAGCCATCGGTGGTCTTCATTTCCTCGCCGCTGTCTGCGACGCCATATGCAGCCTCCGTTATTTAAGGCTGTGCTGGCTCTCGTGGTGTCTGCGAAGATCTACCTTCCTCTGGAAGCCTTTGGAACAGACCTCGCAGCTGAACGGCTTAAATCCGGTGTGTTTGCGGCTGTGTGTGATGAGGTTAGAGCTCTGGCTGAAGGCCTTGCCACACACCTGGCATTTGTGAGGTTTCTCACCTGTAAACAAACATAACATTTAAAAAAAAAAACTATTTTAATCTGTATAAAAACACTGGAGAATATTTGCTTTAAAGCCAGCTTGGATTTGCGTGCCACCCAGATTTGTTCTGTTTTCCAACACAGGAGTGGCTGTCTGCTACATGCAAAGCAAACTTTCCAAGAAGGCATCAGGAAAGCAGGAAGACCAGCTATGCAAATCAAGAGAGCATTTGTTTAATCTTCTTTTCTTGATTTATCTGTAGCTGTGCCGCTCTTGGAAACACACCCTAGAAAGCCAACTTCTGCAATGAAGGCGAATATATCTGTTCGGCGTATTCAGTTTTAATGATTTACATGGAATGAGTGTAAAGAGATAACACGTAATGTGGGGAGGGTTTTGGGGAAACTGTTATTGGGGTGGCAGTAACCGAATGTGCTCTTTATCACTGCCACAGATCTCTTTTCAACCCCGACATGACATAAACACGCAGTCACACACCATGCGTCTCACCTGTGTGGATGTAGGTGTGTTTCTTCATATCGGATTTCTGGTGGAATCTCTTGCCGCAGTACTGGCAGGGGTACGGCCGTGTGTCTGAGTGGATCAGCAGGTGAGTGGACAACGTTGAGGAGCGTTTGAAGGTCTTTCCGCACATCTTGCACTCAAAACTTCTTTCCTTTAAACACAAAACAACAACAAAATGAATTTCTTTGATAGTCCAAATGCCAGCTGTGTGATACTGCAGTGGCTAACTGAATAAGCATGGTTTGTTCATACCTGAGAGTGGACGTTCATGTGTTGCTCTAAGCTGACAGAGTGGCCGAAGCTCTTTCTGCAGATGCTGCATCCAAAGGGACGCGTGCCACTGTGAGAACGTCTGACGTGAACCTCCAGCCCATGAGGGGTGGAAAACACCTGGAGAAGAGGACAGAAAACAGCAATGAAATAGACATAATATTTATTTATTATTACATATATAGAAATAATATTTGTCAAATTTAACATTTATATTATATTTATATTAACATTTTTTAAAAAAAATTAGATTTTTTTAATTACAAAATCAAATTTTATCATTTATATTTTATTTATAAATAAATGATTATTTTATTTCTAAATAAAATAAAAACTGATTTAAAAAAAAGAATATTAAGAATCACACACACATATAAAGAATATATATATATATATATGTGTGTGTGTGTGTGTGTTTGTGTGTGTGTGTATAATTTATTTGAAGCTGAGACAATATGTTACTAATTATAAACAAATAGATTTTTTTTGGGGGGGGGGGAAACATAAAAGCTATAAAATGTAATTGAATTCAATCATTTGTTTTTTATTCTATTATATATTTTTCTTATAATTTTAATTAAAAATGTAATTTAATCATTTTATTATTAAGAAACACACATATATATATAATTGTATTGTTTTTTTATAAAAAAAATAGATAATTTATTTGGTAACAATAAAATGTAATTGAATTCAATAATATTTTCCTCAAAATAATAATTTTATTACTAATAAAAATATTCATTAATATACATTTATATTAATAAAAATATTATAAATTACTAATATAAAATAAATTAATGTTAATAATAATAATTTATTAAAAAAAAATTAAAGAATCATAAAACATAAAAATATAACAACAAAAAGAATCATAAAAATAAAATAAGAAATATACATAGAAAGGAATATGTTATGTCTTGATAGATAATTAAAGATATATTTAACCTTATCACAGGTAATGCAGTGGTAGGTGTTAGACGTGGGTGAGTAGTGTGTGCTGCAGTCCAGTGGTTGTTGAGGCTCAGAGCTCTGCTTCAGATGAGCTCCATACAGGCTGCTGGCGTGCTGCAGGAGCGATGGAGAGAAGCCCATCTGCCTGAAGTCATATGCTGCAGGAACATGATCCCAGGTATAAGAGCTCTTGTAGTAGGGAGGGAACTCTGCCAGCTGAGGCTCTGTTGGAGGTAGAGCAGAAACATTAAGATTATTACTGTTATTGTGTCTAAATCTGCCCTACATGATACTTGCCATTATTATTTTTTTTTTTGATAGAAGAACAAGATGTACACATTCAGATATTTCTGTCAGTGCTCAGACTCTCACCAGATAGGTAAAATGGCCGTCTGGTTGTGACAGGCAGCTCAGGTAGCGAAGGCATTGGGCAGTCGGGCTCTCGCTCACACTTGATGAAATCATACGGGTCTCTATGGGACGGCCGAGTGACCGAATCTACCTGGGGCCGCTCTGGGGAATTACATTCCTCTGGTTCCACAGGGACCAGTGCTGGGACTAAAAAAATAGTACATCACAAGATTGAAAAATGCATGTGGTACAATGGAGCTCAACATCTATCAAAATGAAAGAAATTTGAATAAAATAACATGCACTCAAAAAAGGGCTTTAGACCAAACATCTTTGGTTCCTCAAGAACCTTTCAGTAGAAGAACATTTTTTCATCTAAAGAATCTAAAGAACCCTTTTCAACTATAAAGAACCTTTTGTGCAATGAAAAGTTTCCATGGATGTTAAGAGTTCTTTGTGGAACCATATGTGGATGCCAAAAAACATAGTCAATTAAACCAAGTTTGTTTTGCTTCAAATGTAAGCTTGTGCTATCTGTCTTCAAAAAGAAATACCCTTTGGTTTTATGGTTCTATGGTTTTTATCGGTTTTAATGCAATTACTTTATGATGCAAAAACATTCATATATTTTTATGGCCATTTTATTCCTTTATAAAATAGATATAATATGGCATATTATAATATGGCAGCTCCTTTCTAAAGTAAAACAGATAAAGCATGAACATTTAAATAAACTATGCAATTAAATGGAGGTGTGTACACGAAAAGCTTTGACAGCATCAAACAGACAGATCTGAGATTGTTCCTCACACTTAATTACACAATTACATTTTCTCCAAATGAACCCTGTAAAGAGCAGTTATATCCAGTCACAATATACTGCTCTCTTGTTTGAATAGGGCTAGTTTGCATATTCGTAACATCCAGCCTAACTGCTCAACAGCTTACAGACTTCCATGGAATACAACCTATTGAGCTACCTTAGTAAACTACACATTAGACCCACACTGCTGTCTTAAGTAAGCAGTTGTCAAGGTTTTAGACACAGCCCTAGAATCATATAACAGTCAGCCTGAGGCTGAGGCACCATCAGCAAACGCCAATCTGACAGGTGCTCAGCACATCCTCTAGACAAATCATTTATTTACCCCACAGAGGAGAATTACAGATTCATAATTATGTAAATGAGTATAAATCATACAAAAATAAAAGGACATTTTAATTATATACCACTGTGGATTGTTCATCTCATAAACACCACATGTCAGACAGGTGAATTTGGAGATCAAGTTTAATTGATTTTTGAATGTTAAACTATTTCAAATACAACAGTTCAAAGTATAATACTATCGAGTATTTTAGTATAAATCCAGTAATACTAAAATATAATAATGGCACTTACTTGTTTTGGGTGTTGGGTCCGGGAGTTTCTGTTCACTTTGCTCGGTGTCGATGGGTCGGTGCACATTGTGAGACTTTTTACTTTTCACCAAAAATGATCGTGGCATGATGATTCTGTAAAATGAGATTTGTTTACTGATACTTTCATTTTCAGATTTGTTATGATCACCAAAAACTATCAGCTATTACAAACTTATAGAACAACGAAACTTATCCAACTAATTACAAATGTCAAAAAAACTTATATGATAGGCTATTACAAAAAAAAAAAAAAATGATGATAGTCATTTCCATATCATGTTCCTTTTTCTGTTCAATATCAATATTCGTTTCTCTGTCTAAAAAATGAAACCGCCAAATAAAATGGAACCTTTACAGTTATTACAGGGTACAATATTTGGTGTTTTGAAAGTTTCAGTCAAACTTTGGTTTGAGACAGATTTTTTAACATGTTAAATAAGCCTAAATATACCAAATTACTGTTTAATAATAAATATTTTTTAAATATAAACATAAAAGTAATGATAATAATAGTCTTGAGGTTAAAAAACTTGTAAATAGTTGGCTTTAATTGAAAATGTAGTATAGCCTATATGAAAATATCTTACCTGGGGGGGAAAAAAACGGAAAACTTAATGTTTAAGGTCCTTTGATTGTTTGAGTGGCAAACTTCGCGTTGAAAAGCGCAGGGAAATCCGTTGTGATGTTTAGAAACTTAAGCACTGCATCGCTGTGAGTTGGTTGCGTTGAGTTTTTTCAACTCCCCTCCCTGATTTTCAATCCGATAATTCTGCGGTGGAATCTGACTGAGTTTTCAGCCAATTACAGACAGAGCAGGTGCGACATTTGCCTACTAAACGCAAACTTAAACATCCTGGTGTGGTGGGCACTCTTTTCCATAATGATTTAACAACATATTTAAGATATTTCAAGAAATACTAGATATTATTTTAAATCATTCGTTTGCATTTTTATATATGTTTAAATTTGATATTAGCCCACATCTCTACTTCTACGGGACTTTTAGAAGGTTAATTGGATAACAGAGCAACGTGTTAAAAGTTGGAGATAGGCTATACTGAAAAAAAAAAATTCTTTTAATTATCTGCTGTCAGTTTAGTAGCCTAATTTATTATCTTTGTTAATGGTCATCTGTTGATTTATCTGCTGTAGAACAGCTAGTGGGCTTAAAACATAAAACCAATAAACCAGCAACAAACTTTGCTTGAACGTACCCCTCAAAATACACACCAAACCTGTAATGTTGGTATCTCCGAATGTTTGCCTATTTTTATTTGCTCAGTTGTGTTTTGGTGTCAGCCTTAGGCGTTTTTATGAGATCTTTGATAATTAAAAGCACAACTAGGTTATTAACGCACTGTTTGTAAAACTAAGCGCTGGAAGAGTCTTAGCTGTTTATTTATTGAGTGTCTAATCCTGGTGCGTTTTTGCTCCACTCAACATTGTTCATTTAAAGATTACCGGAGGTCAGTTTTTATTGCCTTGTGTGCGAAATATGGAATCGATTAATGTATTTACGCCGCCGTGTGGATTGGTGGTGAATGGCGTCGCATCTTTGGGTGACTCTTCAAAATATAATGACATTTTGTATGTGTTGCAGTCTTTCTTTTCGTTAACTAGCTTTCCTTCGTCTTTTATTAAAGTATATTACTTTTGCTGAAAGCCCTAACTTGCATAAAGTAAATAAAATTATGTTCGCTATTTTGACAGGCTGGTTCACTGAAATCCGCAAATTCTATGATAGTAAGAACTGTACATCAGGTTTTGACTGTCGTAGGAGTCATTACAGAGTATTTTACAGTGTTTATCAGAGAGCAGAGTGGCGCAGCGGAAGCGTGCTGGGCCCATAACCCAGAGGATCGAAACCATCCTCTGCTAGATACACGTTTCTTTCGTAATAAGGATGGAATGATTTAAAACGACAGCTTGTAATCTCAAGTTTAATATAGTTTACGCAACCAGCTTATTATAGGCCTACTTAACTAAAACTAAACCCACAATAAAATTCGTTTCTTGAAATAAAATCAATATAAAAGAACTAAAGAAATAAAAGAAGATTGCTAGTTGGCTATGAAACCTACATTTAGTTAAATAAAAATTAATAAAACTAGATAGACGTTCAACAAAAATAAAAACGAATGACATAGCCTGCCACAACATTACTAAAACTAAAAGCAATTAACTAAGAATGAACTCAAATGTAACATAAAAATAATTAGTAATACAAAATATTGAAAAAAAACCTAAAATAGTATCTCAATAGTACTAACATAAAACTGTACACAACTGCAGGAATTACATGAAAGAAGACTAAACAGTAAGTTGCATGTAGTCAGAACAGAGTTAAAACACCCATTCTTGGATTCACAAAATATTTATCAATTTGGTCAGTCAGATATGAACAAAAAGGCATGCAAAACACCAATGTGAGTGTTGCAAACACTTAAGGATTAAGGCGTTGTGCTAAATTGTTGTATTTTGAGTATTTTGAGGCAAGAATTCGCCGGTGTAAATAAATAGAAGTCTATGACCATGATGAACCACTAGAGGGACATCATTCTCCACTAAAAAAACAGTCTTCTCCAGGACATTTAAACCGTTGCATGCATGCTTTTATTATAGGTCAGTTGCGCAGAAATTATTTTTCACTTCTTATATTCATGCAGAGATCAGCGAACAAAATTAAACATCACTGAAAGATTAGATATGCGATAATGAGTGTAATGCTAGGAGATAATGGATAAGGCTGTGAATTAATTACCACAGTTTTCTTCTATTTGAAAATTCGTGATCTCATCCTCATTTGATTACATGATGACATACATGATGACATACATGATGACACAATTGTAATTTTAGGTAACGGTTTTTTCAAATGTCATTATTTATTTAGTACTTTTTAAAGTAAATAAATCGTTTATTAGCCTATATTTGGATTTTAATCTTAATATATTCTTATATATTATTTATTTATGTATGTATGTATGTTTAGGGGGAAAAAAATACTTTTTAAATATAAATTGTTTATTAGCGTCTATTGCTGGTCAGATTCAGCGTCTGCGCTCACCACCTGAGTCACGCGAAAACCGCATTACAGAGCGCTGCATCCCTCCACCCTTCAGAAAAACAACTCGGGGCCTAACTGCAGGATTCTCTCAAACTTTCATACACGAGTCTTACTCCCGTCACAATTCACTGTATTTATAAAGTATGACTGTTGCTCATTTCTGACCACATTCACGCCATATGTCCATGTTCTGCGTCCAGATACAGGCGTGTTTTTTAGCGCTCGGGGATTATTTCTCCTGCACAGTTGCGGATGGTGACTGCGCAGGGAGGGGTTGTGAGGTGTTCAAGATGGCGGCGCCCTGTGGCGTGCAGTTGCTCTAACAGGTAAACAGGTTTATTAAACGATGTTTTTTGTAGTGATATTTTTACATCATACGCAGTGACAGTCGGAATGTTAGATTTGCTCGCTCCTCAGTATTTTACGTGCATTATGGAGTCTCTCAGGCGTTATTTCTGATTTGTCGATTATAAGGCTCTCTTGCCTGGGACTGTCAGTGTCAGTGAAATAACAGTCCTCAATGATTGTTACAATTTCGAATTGAATCTCAACAAATCTCCGCGTGCATATGCACGAGTTTAAGAGGAAAGTTGAAATGCACGGGGGAATGTTTCATTTTGTTGGCGCATTTATTTTGGAGACAGTCCCGCAGATTCTGGCCATTGTTCTCTCGCGTTGTTTACGCCAGTGGTCATTTCAGCACAGAACTGCTGTCAGTTAATGCAGCCGAAACCACAACGTCTATCTGCACATGTGTGCTCTGTTATTTTGCAGCATGCAGAGGCTAAAATACAGACATATGTTGTGGGATTTGCTGGCTTTGCACGCGCTTGCGCGTTTTTAAACAGAAATCCTTTTGCAGGCAAATCATGCAATGCAGTCTCAAACATTACCTTCTTTTATTTTGTGATCATTGCATATCGGCATTTTTGCACTATGAGTCTTATGTCTTGCTGTTTAAGAACTTACAGTTACTGTATATTTTTATATAGTAACTATATATATATATATATTAAATAATATTCTTTCATTTTTTTTTTTAAACGTGCACATTTGTCTCCCTCTGTATGGATGTGTAAGTGACACAAAATGAAAGATTTTGAGACCCAAAACTCAGTTAAGCTTCGAAAAGCAAGAGGAAGACGTGACAACTTATACACAACCTCTTTAAGGAATTAGTTTATGTGGTCCTGAACATGGCATATAAAGCTTCTTTGTGCTGTTAAGTGCCCTGTTTTCTAGTTGGCAGGCACAGCCACAGTTCGTGTTGAGGTCGTCCAGAACTTAATCTTGTTAGTGTTTTTTCCCTCTGAATGTGATGTATGCTCTTTGTTTGTGGGCTACAATCATGAAGATAATCAATGAACTTCTTTGTATCTACTGTGCCGGGTGATTTCCATTGAGTGGTCGGTTTGCCATCACCCGTCCCTAGATGGTTCTCATCTTGCACAAAGTTATGCTTCGAGCAGTGCTTTGTGTTTCATAACAGCTGTTTGTTTGGTTGAGAGCTGGAATGGTCTCCAGCAAGGAGATGGTGTCCTTTTAGCATTTGTTCATGTTGCATGTCTGACTGTCAGCTTGAGGTGTTGGTGACTCGCGTTACTGTCAAGATCAAGCTGGTTAGGATGTAGGTTTAGACCCAAATCTGAAGGAAGTTATTGCTGTGAGGATGTGGCAGACCTTTCAGCGTCAAATACAAAGAAGTATATCTATTATTACATGGGGAAGACAACATCCTGATAGTCTGCCTTTAAACATTGGGGCTAGTGTGAGAGTCTTTTGTGTCAGTTGATGGAACTGTTACTAGCTGATACAGATTTGCATTTTTACGGTATTTTGCATGGCATTTGTAATGGGACTTAAGATCTCTTTTTTCAAAAAAATGCTCTTCTTTTGAACATTAAAAGAATCCTGAAAACAAATGTATCATAGTTTTGCACAAAAATATAAAGCATCAGCAACTGTTTTCAAAATTGCACCAAATCAGCCTATTAGAATTCTTTCTGAAGGATCATGTGACACTGAGGACTGGAGTAATGATGCTGAAAATTCAGCTTTGCTGTCACAGGAAAAAAAATCACATTTAAAATTGAATTGAAATATAAAACATTAAAACAGTATAAAAGTTACCATTTTAGCCTTTAAAATGCTACTTCACTCCATTCGTAGTAAAAATTCACTGCTTAACTTTAAAAAAATTGTGTTGTGTGTGCTTAACATGTTACACTGCTCTTGTGTTGTGTAGTATATTCTTGTATATGTCACATTTCTCTGGTCTCCTTATGAATTTTCGTTGACTATAGCTATGCATTGACCTAATGTTGTCAGGCTGGTGTGACAACTGCTGACTTTTGTCGTGTCTGTGCAAGAACAGTTCGCAACATGTGAATCTTGTATGCTTCAGAATCTGTTGGGTTTGTTGTTTACTTGCCTGAAACGGCCAACCCACATTGCCACAGCTGATGTTTATAATGGTTCATCATAATTCTGTGGAAATTTTCCTGCATATCTTGCAGTGTTTTACTCACTCTCGATTGGGAAGTTTACTTAAAGGCAGAAACTGCAAGATGTTGTCATGAATATTTAATCAAGACAGGTGTGTTTCTAGGCAAGTGATGTAAGTCCTCAAATGTGTCTTGCAGTGGTGCCTGGAGACTGTATTGACAGGCGGCCCAGGGACCCCTCCAGGCTGGACAGGACACGGGACGCCTTGAGAGTGACATCTAAGAGTCCTTCCCCTCTCCCTAGACTGTTTCAGAGACACCCGCTTCCAAACCCTCCATACCACCATGTCCAGGGAACAGCTCAACATGGGGGACCTGCTTCCTCTGCTGGAGACCTCTGACCTCCGCCAGCTGGATGAAATCAAGGGCCTTATCAATGAACACCTCAACACAGGTCCAGACTAATACTGTTAGCAGAGGCAGCCTTGGGAGCTTTTACCTAGATTTTGTGTCGAATTTTTAAGCTTCTCGATGTTTGCTACAGGATACATATTATAATTCCCTGCAGTGTTTTATTGCATGACTGACATTCCAAATCGATTCATGTTTTGCAGATCGAGGGTCCGTGCTGCTGAATGGCTTGGTGGACTATTTCCTGGAGACCAACTCCGCCCAGGCAGTGCACATCCTGTCCTCAGTGAGGGAGCCACACGATAAGGTGACTGACGGCCCACTGATTTTTCTGTATGGTTTCTAACACAGTCTAAACTTATACACAGAAGAGAATGTTTGCAGTCTTTTCTGGATCTTTTCTGTTTCTCACTCAATAGATTTTTTGCCAAATTAAAAGCGTGAAAGTATAACCTTTGAAAATAAACATTAGTAATTCTTATTTTGTTTAATATTTCACAATAAAAATGATTATCATTGTTATTTTACAGTAATACTGATGGAATGTGGCCTATGATGACTGAAGTGGAGAGATTTTTTTTTTAACTCTGTTTTAGACTGGTTGTTTGAAACCAAAAACAAGATATAGAATATACATTTGTCTTGCTATATATTTTTGACATAAAATCAACTATTTTTGACAAAAATGAAACTAGTTGTATTGTGTGAAAAAAATTAAAATATACAATTTCATGCAAATTATTATTCAATGACTTTCTTTAAAAATGATAAGTAGTAGCTTGAGTACAGTTTAAAATCTATTATTTTATATCTTTGCTGAAAAGATATAAACCCAAGTGTGAACGTCCACATTGTTTCCCAAATCATTCAGCCCTAAAAGCATGGTTTGCATTAAAAAAAAAGTCTTTACAGTAAAAATAAAAATAAATACATAATAATAGATTAAATAAATAAACCTTTTTAGATGATATTTTTAAGCAAATTCATTACCCTACAAAATCAACCCCTATGATTCTAGAATTATTAATGATTTCCAAATAGAACTGTTCAAATCATCTGGTGAAAATTCCTGTTTTTTTTTATATCACAGTATATATCTCAATGTCAATTTTTTCCCCATTATCTTGCAGTCCAGATTAGTTCCCATCAATAATGCGAATATTACACACTTCACCTTTAAAAAGTGTCACCATTGGAGCTTGTGTGTAATATGCAACCAGTCTACATTCTTAGAGTAAAAAACACCAGTGAAATATGAACAAATTTGAGATGCTTCATTTAAACTCAGAGCATATCAAAATATCTTCAAGGTGTATTTCTCTTTCATTTCATTAATATTTAATAACAACAATAAACGTCTAGGGCAGAGAATACATTATCAACCGTTATGTGTCTTGTCTGCAATATGACTTGTCTGTGTTGTCTGTTTCTCAGCACCTTTTTGATAAAATTAATGAATGCATGGCTAAAGCCCCCTGTCGCCTGCCCACTCTCACTCTACTGGGGCACGTTGTCCGTAAGCAGCCGTCTTGGATCCACAAGATCACTCGCTATCCGCTGCTGCTATCTCTCCTCAAATGCCTCAAGGTAAGCTGACAATGTGAAAGATCTCTCAGATATGCCCCTTGTAACCTACAGTATACATATGATAATTTGTGTTTTACAGACAGACACAGATGTTGTGGTTCTGATAACTGGAGTCCTGGTGCTCATCACACTATTACCCATGATTCCCCAAGCTGGCAAGCAGCATCTCTATGAATTTTTTGATATCTTTGGCCGTCTGGCTTCTTGGAACCTGAGAAACCTAGGTAAGAGTTACTAAGCATGCAAGTACTGTATGACTCAGTTATGCAATATTTTTATCCCTGAGGCATGTATTGAAAGCCTCTGGATGGTTTTCGTCTCCCACAGAAATCCAAAAATATTATGAGACATCCTATTACAAATGATTTCATTTGTAATAAGATGCCTCATAATATTTTGGGATGGTTAACTAGCTGTGTGGTCCATCTCTGTTGACAGGACATGTCCCGGAGGTTTATCTCATTCACCTGCATGCAAGCGTCTACTCACTCTTCCACCGGCTGTATGGGATGTATCCCTGCAATTTTGTGTCTTACTTGCGCTCCCATTACAGCATGAAGGAGAACATGGACACTTTTGAGGAGGTGGTCAAGGTGAGCTGTCAGTCATACAGTTGCTTGACCAGGAGGTTTTCCAAATACATGAGATTTAATGAAATTCCATTCAATCCATAATGATTTTCCATAGAAAAAAAGTAGAAAATGATCAGTAGTAGGGATACATGAGCAATATATTGATTATCGGCCATAATCGTACATACATACAGCATATTTGAACATGCTCATTTCCTCAATTATTACTTCTCAATTACCTTTTAAATCATGTAACACTCAATTAATCTTTAAAACACTAAAATGGCACTGTTAAAAATAATATTTAGCAAATCTCAAAATTAATATCTGTTTTTCGTACTTATATTATAATACTTTGGTGCAACTTGTAGCATTTAAAATGATGATGAAAAAAATGATTTTTGTTTTTACTGTTTTATTTTTAATTTATATAAGCAAAATAGTATAGAATTTTAAAATTGGCCATTTATCTGTTATTAGCCATAACATGACAATTATTATCGGTATACAGTACCAATGCAAAAATTTGGGGTGGTAACATTTTTAATAGCTTTGAAAAAAGTCTCCTATGCTCACCAAAGCTGCATTAATTTGATAAATACAGTATAAACCGTAATATTGTGAAATATAGTTACAATTTCAAATAACTGAAAAATGTAATGTATTTCAATTTGTAATTTATTCCTGTGATGCTAATGCTGAAATTTCTGCAGCCATTACTCCAGTCTTCAGAGTCACATGATCCTTCAGAAATCATTCTAATATGCTGATTTGGTGCTGAAGAAACATTTCTTATTATTAATAATGTTGAAAACAGTCGTGCTGCTTTATGTTAGTGGAAACTGGATTCTTTGATAAATAGAAAGTTTAAAATATACCATTTATTTAAAATAGAAATTATACTGCAAATGTCTTTACTGTACTTTTGATCAATTTAATGCATTTTTGCCAACCCCAAACTTTTCAATGGTAGTGTATGTCAGAATTTATTTATGGGGGCATCCATGACTAATGCCTAATTAGTGATGGTGTGATTAACTGTTGGTGTTTATGTTGTATTTATGTCTGTGTATATGTTTCAGCCCATGCTTGAACATGTCAGAATCCATCCCGAATTAGTGACCGGAACCAAGGACCATGAACTAGATCCCAGCCGGTGAGGCAATACTGACTTATGTCACTTATTTAAATGCATAAACCACAAGCGTTATAGTCTATCATTTGGTCTCTTTTCTCTCTACAGGTGGAAGAAATTTGAAATCCACGATATCGTTATTGAGTGTGCCAAAGTCTCTCTGGACCCGAAGGAGGCGTCCTGTGAAGAGGGCTATGCCAGCATGCCTGAGCATTTCTGTGCTCATCTACAACAACGTCCGGCTGATTGCACTGCCAGCCCTTACGGCGACTTCCACAGTAGCTGCGGTAACGCTCTCATCCTGTCTGAATTACTTTTTTGACCTCAGCATACAGCCAAATAGCACTTTTCAGTGTTTTTTCTATCCTAGAGATGGTGAAGGGCTATATAAATAGATCTATTATTTAGAAAAACTGTCTTTCTGCTAGCAACTGCAAGGTCATGCATGAGTTTAGTTCCTAGGGAATGTGTGAAGTGCTAAAATGTATACCTTAAATACACAACTGAATAAAAACATCTGCCAAATGCATAAAATGTAATCGGAAATGAAGCTAGGCAAGATAAAAACTAACATGATAATTCAGTCAGTCTATTTTCAGGCAAACTCTGTTTTTATAGCAGTGGCAGGATGTTTTTTTGTGGACATAATTTTTCTGTCCCTTTCCAGGAAGTTCTTCCTCGACTCATTTCTCCACCCCTCGTCAGCCTGTCATCCCTCCCTTGGCCCTGTCATCTTTCTCAGGGACTCAGCTGCCCTATCGCAGCCCCACTGGAACCCGTTGGCAGGTGAGAGTCCACCAAACTCGGAAATCTACAATCCAGTTTTTAGTTTGCAGTTTATAATTTGTTTGCTTTAGCAGCCTAGTTGCAATATTGGAGCTTGTGTTTGGAACTACCTGTTTGAATCCAGTCTGAGTGAATCAGTGTTCTGCATATAAACAGATCCGGGTTGGCACACTAGTTTGTGCAATAGCACCAGTGCAGGAATCAGCGTCTGCTTCCCTCCTCCCTCTTGTTGTTTGTCAGTTTGTCAGCTGTTGTCCATAAATCACCCATCCCTGAACCCCTCCCTTCCCACTGCACACCAGAGCTCCCCCTCCTTCTTCCACCATGAATCATCTCCTTGTTCTCCAGGCAGGCTGAGGAGCTGACAGGAAAGGAGGGGAGAGGTGTTGAGTCATTCCTGTGGGTGTGCAGGGCTTTAAAAAGAGAAAAACATGCCATCTCTTAGCTGACGCAGAAACGGTTGTCTTGGCGATGTGAATGACGCCGGAGCACTTTCTCCTGGCCTGTCACCTCCCACGGTCAGGACCTGTATTCAGCTGAACCCTCTACAGACTGAAAACAAACACAATTGCATTTATGTTCTAATGAGCACATTTGGTCCTATGTTAATGTTTTCTCACAATTCAAGATTATGTTCTCACAATTTTGTTGTGATTTGGTAAATACTTTCTATTAGGAGTGCATTGATTTGGAAATTAGAGGCTGATGCAGACGACGGTTATTTTGAAAGATAGCAATCTGATTGCCAGTTTTTCTCAAGTAGAGCTCAGCACGCAACATCTCTCTAAAAGGGAAAGTGCTTTTCAAGATCTAGTGCTCTTACAGAGTTAAACTTGAACTTAGTTCTAGATGATGATCTCAATATTAAAATAAGTATAAACATTCAAAGGGTTAGTTCACCCATAAAAGAAAATTCTGTCATTAAGTACTCAGCCTCATGCCGATCCAAACCTGTAAGACCTTTGTTCATCTTCAGAACACAAATTAAGATATTTTTGATGAAATCCGAGAGCTTTCTGACCCTCCATAGAGAGCAATGCAACTGAAATGTTCCCAGACCCAGAAACTTAGTAAAGACATCGGTAAAACAGTTCATGTGACATCAGTGGCTCAACCATAATTTTACGAAGCTACGAGAATACATTTTGTGCGCAAAGAAAACAAAAATAATTACTTTATTCAAGTAATTAATGACAGATTTTCATTTGTGGGTGAACTAACCCTTTAAATATTGGTTGATTATAAAATATGCAATATTGTTCCATAGCCAGTATGGTGCAAATATAATGTGCTTTATTACACTTTTCACTATGCCACATGCTGCCTCCAAATGTACTACACTTTGAAATTGCTGGTAAATGTTTACATTTTGTGAACTGGTTGTTTTTTTATGGATAAAGCATAAATCTATTAGATGCCATCTGATAATCACTGGAATCTGCATGAGCAGTCATGGGACTGATATTGTGTGTGCTTGTGTTTATTTATAGAACTCCAGCTGTGAATTTAATGCCACATATGGCTTTAAGGATTCCCTCTGGAGCCCCTCCTCCCAGTGTGGCATGGCCACGCCCCCTTCCTCCTGTGGGATGTCACCGAACCCGGAACTGTCCCAGAGTGCCTCTCACCTACCAACCCGCCTCTACAGCACACCTGGTGACTATACCGTCTATGCTTGTTCACAGGTAGGCAAATCTGGGTCTCCGTTTCCTTAGGCACTAGTATGAATTTGGTTTTGCCATCTTCCCTGTGGCAGGTGGTAAAGGCACCCCGTCCTCTAGCACCCCTGCGGCCGCCTCACCTCCTCCTAGCCTCTCCGATGAGTTTTCCCCTGTGTCTCTGCTTCGCAGTACGGCCAGTCCGCCATGCAAGGTACTTCTGTGGAGGATGACCTTTTGTGTGGATCAGTAGTATTCACTTAAGGGGTAGTTCACCCAAAAATGAAAATTTTGTCATAATTTACTTGTCAAAAACCTCTATTTTTCTTATTAAAATATGTACATTTCTAAAAGAAAAATCAGCATGATTTTGACATTTATTGTATGGACAAAAATAGTTAAAACATTCTTTAATTTAAAACATTCTAGAATTTTCGTTTTTGAGTGAAATATCCCTTTAAGCCTTCCTTAACCTTTCTTTGTTAAAACAACTTCAAGTTTGAGACCATTTTTCTTGTGTATAGTTTCACTACAAGTTATTTTAACTTTAGGATGGTAGACCTTTAGACCACACCAAACCCGTCTTGGTCAGACAGGAGCCGGTCAGACAGGAGCCAGACAGAGAGCTCGAGAAAACTGGACCTGAAACGATCAATCACAGAGGTATGTTACATGTAAGAATCACTGAAAACACAAGAACAGTGTTTTGACACAACTAATACAACAGCCTGACATTAAAGTAAAGGTTTAATTCTCTTTAAAATAATTATTATAAATATAAATTATTATAAATAATTCTATAATCTTTGGTCAACATTTTAAAGCGCCAAGCAGAAAAGGCAATAGGGAAGTCAACACCACAACTATAACCATAACTACACAGAGGAAAAACATTGATGAATGATACAAAGATTGACAGCCAAACAGAATCCACCTGACTTTAAAAAGTTTGAGCATTTAAAGCAGCAGACAACATAACTGCAGTGCACGCTTATAATAAACAGTTATTATAAGTGTGGTATTGTTGTAAGATATTGTCCATTGGTATGGACACTATATAGTATGGGAGCTCATTTCTACCACAGAATAAAAAAAATAAAAAAGGTAATCGCAGCTTTTTTTATCTCACAATTCAGACTTTTTTTCTTGCAATTCTTAGAAATAAAAAAATCAGAAATGTGAGATTAACAATTGTGAGATAGAAATTTGAGTTAAATTGAGTTTAACAATTCTGAGGTTACATCTCGCAAGTCTGTTTATGTAATTGTGACTTTTCTCACATATTTTTTTGTGCAATTGCGCGTTTGTCGCACAATTGTGACTTTTCTTATAAGAATTGCAATTCTGAGTTTACATCTCACAGTTCTGACTTGTTTTCACAATACTGCATTTATATCTCGCAATTCTGAAACAATTTTCTCAGAATTGGAAGAAAAAAGTCCAAATTGTGTGATGAAAAGTTAATTAAAGAATATTATTGTAAAGAATGATCTTTTTAGTTTTTTATTCTGTGGTGGAAACAAGCTTCCATAATATAGTTATCATTTTTTGTGTGAACGGGCTTTTAGATGTGTCATTAAGAATTATTAAGAAGTCTTTTATCTGACCCAGATGGGAGAGGTGAGAACATGCCCATGACCCTGACCGAGCTCTCTGTGTACATGAAGGAGCAAGAACAACTGAGGATCGAGAAAGAGCGGGAGGACGGTATGAACTAGCACAGTGGTTGTGTGTGGCCTGTGCTGTATTTTGAGTCGCTTCATACCAGTTGTGTCTTTTTTCTGACAGACTAACTAAACCGTTAGGCTTTGGAAATATCCTTATATCATTTTCCATCTTCCATCCTCTCAGCTGCCATCACAGAGGAGCTTCTGAAGTTAACAGAGGAAAAGCGGGATTTAGCTGGCCTTCGTGGCTTTGACTCTCCATTCTTCAGCACCACAGAGACCCTGACCGGAGCGCAAGAGAAACCCCTGCCCTCTTCTATCCTGGGCAGCTCGATTAGAGACCCTCACAACACGATCTCCACACCCGACAAGACCGAGATCACGCCCATTCCAAAGGGTGCCGCGACTAAAAAAAGGTTGGGAAACACTGACCTAACAGACCAACAACCTCCCGAAAACACCTTAGCAATCATCCAGAATGACCACATAGCTACATGCTAACAACCAACTGGAACATCTTGGCAATCAAGTAGCAACTTAATAACAAGCTCTCAGAACTTCTTTCTTTGTGATAAGGAGGTTTACACATAACAAGAATAACTTGTTTTCTTTTTTTAGAAAATGTAAACAGTTTAGTTTACTTTTCAGTTTCTGAACTAGAAGACTTGCTAAAGGGCTACTACCCTTACAAAATTAACCATGGTTTTATTGTAGTAAAAGTGTAGTAACCATTTGTATAACCACAGTTTTACTACAAATACCATGGTTAATTTATGGTTACGAAGGTTTAAATATAGGTTTTTTTTGTTTTATTTGTAGTAAAACCATGGATAATGTGTTGCTCTGAGGCTCTTTAGGAAGAACTGGGTCAGACTAGTTCCAGATTTGCCCACTAACGCGCTATCACACTGAAACAACTGTCTGCATTGTCCTGTGTCACGCAAATCAGTCCACAGCGCAACAGCTGAGCCTGTGTTAACAGAACACAATCAGAGCTCTTTCTCTCTCCTCCTGCCCTGCACAGGTCTTACTAGAAGACACGTAATTGAGTTGGGTTACTGGGCTCACACAAATTGAGGTGTTTTGGCTCTGGTCAGAGAGGGTTCTGTGTGGAAAGGCTTCTTCTGCCAGAAAAGCTGTGTGTCCGAAATTATTGCCACTGACCTTGTTGATCCTGTGTTTTCTCCCTTCCTTTTCTTCCAACATTTCCGCAATCGCTCTCAGATTGCCCCTGCCAAGTAAGTCAGCTGACTGGACACACTTTGGAGGTAAACAACATTACATGAGCACACGTTCGCTACTTGTGGAAAAGTAGTTCTTTCAGAGTACAGAGAAACAATGCTGTGTTTTCAGCAAGGGGATAAACATTTAAAGGATTATTAAAAGGATAGGGTGCCCATCCACATGACTTTCTTACTTCTGCAAAGTATGAAAAGATATTTTAAAGAATGTTGGTAATCCAGCAGTTTTGCACCCCACTCAATTACATTGACACATTTCTCAAAATACATTCTTTTATGTTCCAGAGAAGAAAGAAATAAATGAGTGGTCATGATGTGACAAGTTGATTAATACACACCTTGGTAACACCCCTATTATCTGACACTTTCGGTTGTGCAATAAATTAATCATAGATGACAAATATACGTATGAATAGATTTTTTCGATTGTATAGTGCTTTACACAATACAGATTGTTTCAAAGCAGCTTCACATGAATAAATGGAAAAATTACAGAATCTATTGTCTAAACTCTCAAATATGAAAAATTCAAATTCTGCTATAAAGGAGCTCTAAGAAAGACAGCAGTGTCATTATTCAGCTCAGGTTGATTTAAAACATGGTAAAACCTCTCCTTTTTCATATTTTGCTTAAAAACAGCTACTTTTAAATGGTCGTCAGTGAAGAAAGATGTACTTTGCTGGCAGAATGATAAAAAATAAAAATAAAAAAACTTAATTGCTTTAATGCTTAAGACTGACAAAGATCTTACTGTTTGTATAATGTATGAGTTATGTAGTAATCTTTAATTTCTCATGCACAGGTTCTGTTCCTCTGGACGAGCTGCACACACTGCGCAGTCAGCTGCTTCTGTTACACAACCAGCTCCTGTACGAGCGCTACAAGCGAGAGCAGCACGCCGTACGCAACAGACGTCTGCTTCGCCGTATCATCAATGCCACCACGCTGGAGGAGCAGAATAACGCCATGGTAACCTCAGCTCAGAGTCATGATCTGTGGGACAGCATTCAGTTTGAGTCAAGGCTACCTGATATTCACCGTGACCACTAGAGGGCGGTAGAAACCAATACTGTTGATTGTATGGATGTGTTTGTTTCTACAGAAGGACCAGCTGAACCTGCAGAGTGTGGATATCATGTCTTTGAGAGAGAGCCTGCAGGTAGAGCAGCAGAGATACCGGCAGCTCTGGGACGACCGAGAGACTGTAGTTACACGCCTGCACAGCCAGATACGCCAACTACAACAGGCCAGAGATGACTACTACACCAAAAACCAGGAGTTAGAGGTGCTAATCAATTTATTCTTTTTTCTAAGCTCAAACCCTAAAGCTGTAGAGTATATAACTTAATAATAGTAAATAAGATGGCCACAGCATTGTAGTTTAGAATCAGTTTGATAATTTATTATGCACCTGTGATCCTCCAATCAGAGTAAACTACAGGAATGCCAGAAGCGTATAGGTGAGATGGAGGCGGAGCTTCAGAAGGCAAACAACAAGGTGTGCCACACGGGACACCTGCTGAACCAGCTCACTGCCAAGGTAAAAACAATCACCCTCTGTCTCTCGAGCTCTAAAAAGAGTGGGTCTCATATCTTTTAGTCCATTTGAGTCTATTTTCTGAAGTAAATGATCATTTGTAATTTCGGAGTGAATGGTCCCGTTAAAGATTTTGCGCCTATATATCATCATTATCTTCCCCTAATTTGTCCTTTCTTCAGTTGTCATCGAGTGAAAGTATACAGCAGCAGTTGAGTTTTCTAAATAAGCAGCTGCTGCTGCTAGGAGAAGCCCATAAACTGTGTGTTCAGGAGCTGCATCAGGCCGGACCAGATACTAGCAAGGTACAAGTCAAAGGAACAAGAAACTCAGTGTCTCTTTCGTTTTTGCCATAAATACAATTTATGTCATATTCCTCTCTGTCATTGTCCACTTCTCTCGTGTAGGAGGTGCAGATGCTGCAGACATCCTGGGGGAAGGAGACGGAGCGTCTAAAGCAGAATCTGTTACTTCAGAGCCAAAAGCTGGATGCTGCTCAGCAGCGAGTGGCAGAGCTGGAGACTCAACTTGCTAAAAAAGAGCACCTAATTGCAGAACAAAAGAAGTTTCTAGAAGATGTCAAGGCTCAGGCTAAGTATGACCTGTTTTGGTAACTTGTATTTGCATTTATTGACACTTTGAAGGACAAAGCTTCCCCTCAGGTTTCTGTATAATATACTTTCTTGCTTAATTCCATCATTTCACAATGTCTCACAATCTTTCTTATTTGCCTTCTACTCAGAGGGGAACTGCAGGCCTCTGAGAGCAGATATCAGGCACAGAGGCGGGTAACCCTGGCTCTGCAGACTGAGCTTCTGCAGCTCTACAGCAGGCTGGAAACAGAAGACTCCTCTGCCACTGCTTCAGCCTTACCGGCAGAGGGCGCCACTGAACCCCGCGGTTCCACCGATCCCAGGTAGGACTGATAACCATAGTGTCATTCAAATATAAAGACATTTGAAACAAAGATACCGTTATCCAGTTCAGCATGCTACTACTTCTGTGTTTGTATGATTTTATGATATGCAGTTTGTGCTGTTGGCACTTTCCATGAATAGGGTACCATGTTAGACTTTTACATTTTAAATTTGCATTATTTTTTTTCTTTTGGTTTCATTTTCATAATTTTTTTTTCATTATGGCCACCTCATTATTTTTATGAGGTTCGCCATTTGTGTGTTTATATATAAATATATGTGTGTGTGTGTGTGTATGTATGTATG